CAGGGAAACTTCTGAAACTTTTAACAAAGATCACAGTCTCATCACTGACTTGACAGATTTGTTATTCATCTCATTTGTTGTAAAATAATATAATTTATACAATTAGTCAAATTTCCTTTAACATAATAAGTTAGTAGGGATATAGGTTCTGATGAGATGGGAAAAAAACAAAAAGGCAAAGATAGCAAGAAGAAAATCAAAGACAATCATTGGAATCTACTGTGGTCAACATRTACTTTTTATCACCTCAATCATAAAAACTTTCTGCTTGAGAGAAAAACAGCAACAATTAGCTTGTCTGAACATCCAGTAATTTGTTATTAGGTTTTAGCATCTTTTAAATTCTACTTCCTGTGTTTAATGGAGCAAATCACTCACCATTTTGGCCTCCGTGCAGCGATGTCCTCAATGTCAACGGTCTGTCCTGGAAAGAGGGAGAAGTCAAACCTCTGGAGCAGCTTCACCATCACATTTTAGCCTCCATCTGAAAACACACAACCATCTCTTCAGCAACATCTGGGCTTTTGTAAATACGGGTACCATCTTGTCCTCTATGTTCTTTGACAGCTCTTTGGTCATGTCCTGTTGACAGTCGTGCTATAAACACATAAGTTGAGATCAGGAKTGGCTTAAACAATGATAATCTGTATGCTGTATTACATGTGTTGAACCCTGATGGCATCTAGCTGGGAGCCAAAAAATTTGGCTGGACTGTAAGGGATCAAACAGATATTTCACTCAATGATTTGCAAAAGTATTGTTTTTTTCTGAATTTTAACAGACATTTTTTTWAATAAATAAAATTACCACAAACATTAAAGTTTGATTCTTTCGAAGTCAACAACCTTATATAAAAAAGAGATAGAAATTAAACAAACATTTCCCTCACTGCATGTTGGTTCTTTTTGTTCCTTACTTGAGCAAAGTTTTGTCCCRTGGCACACGCCTGGTCCAAGGGCAAAGGTAGTTTGCACTGGTAGTTTGTAAAGACAGAAAAGCAAACTTGACATAATGAGATCATTTTGTTCTTACTTGGGAAGTTCTGGGTTGAATCTGTCTGGACCAAACTTCAGTGGTTCTTTRAAGAATTTTTCCATTCTCCCAGTTGTATGGGTGTTCAACTGAATATCAAAGTAATTTATGTGATATTTTCATTCATCCATAAATCATGTTTTCTCCTTCAGAGCTACAAGCTTAAGACTCACCATGCAGCTGACTCCTGCAGGGATGTGGACACCATCAATCATCATGTCCTCCTCAATCTTACGGACAGAGCCGGCTCTGGGCATAGGCGAACTAGGCGGTCGCCTAGAGCGCCATCTGCTGGAGGGGGCGCCGAACTGCAGAATTAAAAAAAGGTTTATTATTTGTAATCCCTGTTTGTAACTCTGCTCAGCGCCCATTTCAATTAGCTTTGTCTTAAAAAACAATAACGAGGTATTACAGGAAAAATA